CTGGCGCCCTAGCCGCTTGAGCCACAGGCGCCGAGCCCCAGCTATTTTTTTGTTGCAGTTTGGCTGGGGCTGGGTTTGAACCCCACACCCTATGGTGCTGGTGCCCTACCCACTGAGCCACAGGCACCACCCTCCTTAAGGTTTTTAAGAAACATGACCCCTAATGATACTTACTAATTTTTAAGATGTTGCACTTTAAAAATCAGTAGCTCAGATTTATTCCAAACACAGGGTGTCCATAAAGTTAATGTGCAATTTAAAATAGTTTTAAACATTGTAAAATTGAACACAAACTTTATGGACACCCTGTATTTCCACAGAGATAACATTATTAGCTGTGTATCAGTTTCTAAGCCAACTTAACTAAACGTATTCAAACCACAAATCTATGGTACTATATTCTACCAATTTTCTAGAGTCAAATTTTGTTCCAGATTTCAGCTTGGGTTGAAGGAAACAATTTTATTCCCATTCAACAGAAGACCTCAGAGGCGTCTACAGGGTATGGATTGGTACTGAATACTGTTAATAGAAGATGTAGAGAGAGGGTTGTAGTAAGGGAAAAAAAAAAAAAAGGAACACCTGGAGCCTGGGAGCATTGGTTTTTTGAAAGCAGTAGTATAGGCTATAGAAAGCATCAACAGTCTGCAATTCAGCTAAGGGTGACAATGACCTTTTATACAGATGTTTTTAGCCAGATGCTTATGAACAGGGAACTAATAATAAATAGGGAATGATACCTACCTCACCTCTAATCATTAGGAATACTTAACTCTTGAAATACTTTGATTCATAAGAAAATCTGAGAGCAGTCTCATGAGTTTCTTTAGCTACTTTTTTTGATCATTTTATAAAGGGAAATACAAATGAAATTCAAGATTTATATTCAGTATTCCTCTATCATAATTTTTTTTTTTCTGAGACAGAATCTCACTTTGTCACCCTTGGTAGAGGGTCATGGCATCATAGCTTATAGCAACCTCAAACTCTTGGGTTTACATGATCTTGCCTCACCCTCCCAAGTAGCTGGGACTACTGGCATCTACAATGCCCTGCTAGTTTTAAAGACAGGGTCTCACTCTTCCTTAGGCTAATCTCAAACTCCTGAGCTCAGGCAATCTACCTGCCTTGGCCTCCCAGAGTGCTAAGATTAACAGGCATGAGCCACCGTACCAGGCCCAATTCCTCTACTGTAATTCTTTTTTTTTTTTATGATTCCTCTACTGTAATTCTTAAACAGGGGTCCACACTTAAGCTTCCTGGAGATCAGTGAATTCCTTAAAAACAGCATCTAAAGTTCTGTAGTTCCCAACATAAATGGCTCAGATCACACACAGCTCCAGAGGGCAGGAGCCAGAAGCACTGGAAGAACAGACTATCGGGGTAGCTCATGGACAGCTACCTGTTCTAAGACAGCCTCGTTACCTTCTTTTTCTTGAGCCAAGTATTTCTTTATGTTTTCTGCTCTCTCCATGTAGCCGGAAATTTTATCTCTGAGATTAGACTTCTTCGTACAATCTTTGGTGCCTATAAATTAAAAAAATACATTCTCAAGTTTCAAAACAGTTGTTCTATTTTGTTCTGGCATTATTTCCAGTTTTCCAAGTTTTCCACACATTTCCTGTCCTTTAGCAAGGTTTGCCTCAGTCCTAAGATATACACATGATGGGCTCAAATTTGGCTTGTTCACACAGGACCTTCATTTTTACACTAAGCATCTTAAGCAGCTTTGTTTAGGAGTAGGAACTCTGATATTGTGTCTTACCTCCAAACACCAAATCTGGTGGGGTGAGAAAGGTGACTTAATACATGTCAAACTTTAGTCTAGGCATTCTTTTGTCCTAATTACTCACGAGTTGAAATTTTAGTGTAAGTAAAAGATAGCAAAGGATGTCTATTTATCTTCCACAAACCAGCTCCTCTTCCAGAGCTCCCCATTACAGTAAATGGTCAAATTCTAAGTCATTACTGATATAATCAGTAGTCTTACTCCCAATGCTCCATCCATCAAAACCAGTCACCAAATCATTTCTGCTTCCTCCCTCCTTCCTTTCCTTCCAACATTGCTTATATTTTTCATAATAATTCCATTTTTAATTTCTCACTAAAAAACATTGTATTTTAAATTAATTTGATATTTACAGAAAAACTGCAAAAATGGTAGACAGCTCTCCTCACCCAGATTCCCCTAATGTTAACATATCACAAAACCACAGTACAATTATCAGAGCTAGAAAATTAACATTGATAGACTACTTAACTTACCTAAAACCTTATATAAATTTCACCAATTTCCCCACTAATGAAAGTTTGTTTTCTGGTCCAGGATTCCCACACTGCATTTGTCCTCTCCAATCTATGCAAGGTCCTAAGCACTATGGTATAATACACAGTATACTGTACTATACACAGGGTATGTTAGTACGCAGAATGTCTCTCATTTTGGGATGTGTGGTGTTTCCTCATGATTAGACTGAGATTATGCATTTATGGCAAGAAAATCAGAGAAGTACCAGGCCTTTCTCAGTGGGTACATGCCCTGATGTGTCTTATTACTAAGACATTAATTTTGACCACATGGTTTGGTTCACAGATTTGTCCACTGTAAAATCACTATTTTTTCCTTTGTAATTATAAATATCTTGTGGAGAGTATCCTATTTCTCACCTTTCTTCCACTAATTTCAGCATCTATTAATGGTCCTTGCCTACAATTATGACTATGTCTGCAAAATGGTTTTCTATTTCCATCATTCTATCTTAATCTATTTATTTATATCAGTGGGACTCATGGATATTTATTTTACTCAAATACTACAATTTTCCTGCTCAAATTTTTTAGCTTTGGCTTTGATACCTCCTTCTTGCTGATTCCTGTGACCTTTCCACATGCCCCCCATCATTTTTGGATACTTAATTTTTGATACAATATGTTTTAACTCATCTTCTATATTTCCTACCCCAGCCCTGGATTCACCACTTTTCTTTTTTTTTTTTTTTTTTTTT